ATTGTTAATTAAAGAATCAGATTTATCACATAGTTTCAAGCCCAGAAGTCATTTCTCATTTTTAAAAAATGCCTTTTATGTTTGCCTTCATATGCAAAGTGAAAAAACAATGTGCTATTTCATAGTTCTTATTAATAAGTAAAATGACATGTAGCATTAATACATTTAAGCAGCGTCACTGCTATAAACACATAAACAATTATGTACTAAAAAACAAACATATATTTAGTTTAAGAATGATATTTACCAGAATGATACTAATTATCAATAATAACCATTTATATCCTTGTTTACAATTTTATTAATACATAATAATTTAAAATTAAAGACATGGTAGCAGAATACTAAATGTGAGATAAATATTATATGAAGAATTTTCAAAGCAATGATGTTAAAAAAAAATCCAACATTAACTTTGTACATACATTTAAACATGTGTAATTTTGTTTTGTTATAGATAGATTTAGCCATTGGCAGACTGAATCTATCTAACAGCTAAAGTTATGTTGTTGTTGCTAATGCTCGCTTGTCTGACATACAGTCAGCCCAAACCTACGAAATTCTTTGTGGCTGGGGCTGACCATGAGGAATAAGGCATTATTTTTTTTACCAGTAATTTTTCATTTTTTTGAACTAAATACCCAACATAAACTTTCAATGTAGATCATCAGAATAAAAATAGTTTTATTGTCACCTCTTCATTTCCACGGGTAATACAAGTTGCACCTCGTGGTAAATAATATTAAATATTATTACTGATAAGATGATTAAATAACCAATGCGTTCAGTCATGCTTGATGAAAGATAAACAAGTATCTGGTCAAGTGAAAAATATAATACTAAATAAAGTTAAAAAATAAATAAATATATTACACCCAAAGGGGCATTTTTTTAATGTTTTGTGTGTTACCTTTATTTAAATATAATGTTCTTCACATTTAAACCAAAAAATTCAATTCAACAGTAATACCACAAGAAAAGAAACCTTGCACATAAAATATCTGTGAAGATTCACACGATGTTACAAATCATTCAGTTTGTTAATCAAGAATTTGTTGAAGATTTACGAATTATGAAATAGATAATAAAACAAATTCCAAATTTTGGGCTTCCATATGCCCACATTTAAGTGAAGCCATAGATTTTGTCTGTTCTGTATAGAAGTTTTATATTATGCCATTATTCAAAATTTGATGTCTCTAGGTATTGCTGTTTTTTCAAAATACGAGGAACACGCACCCATTCATGCAGATTCTTCATTATTTAGTTTTTTAAATATAATGTAGGGCTCCAATATTTGGTGCCAACAATTTGAAAAGTGATTCAGAATTTTATAGTGAACCAACACAAAATGGCAAAATGAAATAAATGCCCTTCTGAGCTACTGCTCTTTTAAGCTAAAAATAACTTTAGATGAAATCTTAGGACATATTATAGTTATTATTTACTCACAAAAAGTGACAGTAAGAATAAAAAGATGATGAGAATATTTACACTACTCTCTGCAAGAAAGCAGGCCTTAATTAGTGTCCAGGTTCATGAAACCAATGTGTACGTTTTCATATTTTACAAGATCAATTAATTCTTATAAAAATTATATAAAAGTATGTTATTACCTTCATTATAATGATATAAAAAATTATCTTTGAAAAATGCAGTCCCTAGGGCTCCAGATTATCTTAATCAGATCCTAATAATGAAAATCTAAATTCTGTTAACTAAAGTAACCATGAATAAGGAACACTCATTTTGAGCCTTTAAAGCTTGATCAAAATAAGCCCCTCTTGTTAATTTTTTTTCAGGGGTGAAGGCACTATGCATACTACAAATAACACATTAGCTTACAAGTAGGCTCGTTTTCCCAGCACAAGTCCCAAATCCTCTTTACAATGAAATAATGGACAACACCGAGAGAAAGAGAGCATAATATAAAACTTCTATACAGAACAGACAAAAATCTAGAAGATCTGCACGATAAAGTTTAATTAAATCTCAAACCTGTGGCATTTATTAATTTACACGGTATTGTTTGATTCTAGCAACACCCACAGATGCTATCTGCTTGAATTCCATCTTGCTTTGGATCGAGGATCCCTTAGGAGGATAGATCTGAGAATTCTGTACTACCTCAGTATCAATCTCTCAAGGACTCTTGATTCAACAGATTTTTAAGTGCCTCCCCTAACATGTTTATAAAGATTTCAATATATGTAAATATTAGTATTTAATACACTACTAATAGAAATGCTTGAGACATAAAACTACTCTCTCATAGGCTTGATTCCTGTTGAAGCAAAGTGTACAGCTGAAGTAAGAGTGAATACAAACTATCATTTTAGAATGATCTCCCGTCCTCAACAATAGCAGGTTTTAGCCATTTAGTGGTGGTCTCTTTATTATAAAGGCACCTAACAGATGCACTACCCTTACCTCCTACGAAGGGACAGCCAAATCACATGCATGCCTTCTCCAGGATTCAAACCCGGGCCCTTCAGTACAGCAGTTAAGAGACACTAACAACTTTCCCATCTGAGCAGCATATATAAATGATCCTGACCTAACTGGCCAAGAGCTTAACTTAATCCAGAAGTTTCCCCAAAATGCCATGAGAAAAGCGTATTTTCTTAATTATAATTAAAAAATACCCTGCCACTTCATACCTTTATTTTTCCTTTGGATATACAGCTATGTGGGCATATTTCAAGATGCATTCACATGTACTTATATGGCTCAGCTGACTGGAGCATACAATAAATAAAATACAGTACAAAGTCCATAATCTGCACTTGTCAGGAGTTCGGCGATTCCGGATTATAGATCATCAATCTGGTAAGATGGCATGCAGAAATTATACAATTAAAAATATGAAACTGTAATTTATGAAATAAAGAGCAATTATGATCTAAAGGGTATCAAAATTTACAACAACAAAAAAAAAAAGCTTAGTATTTATCTGTTTACTTTAGTAAACATTTCTCTCAATGTAAGCTGTTTGTTCAAGTTGTTTTGTTTTTTGTGCTAATACTTTCTCTTTAATTCTATAAACAGACATAATTTCTTGTTCAGTTACAAAGTACTACTGTTTAAGTCCTGCAATTGCTGTGTCGAGAATACCGACTAACTTGTCAATCGAAATTTTTTCGTTTTCAATAACGTTCTCTGTTACCTTCTTCACTATTGGAAGTGCTCATGGGTAAACGCTTTACTGGCTTTATGCGCATGCACAGCGAACGTGCGCATCAAACGCGCATGCGTAAAGTTTGTGGCTTTGAGGTCCGGATTATAGATCAGTCCGGATAACGGACGTCTGGACTTTGTACTGTATAACACCTCTAAGACAAAATGTTATGCACTTTTCTACAAAAAACTTTCTGCTGAAAAATGGTCTTACGAGATATACCGCAAATTTACTTAACCCCACAGTTGCATATATAACATGTATTATGTATATTTAAAATTTACTTTTTTTTTAATTATATACATAAAAATGCAAAAACACTCAGTAAAACAAACATACAAAGCACATTACTTTCGCAGATCAATATGAATAACTTTTTTATAGTCTAGAATGGAAGTTTCATACTCAGGTGTTTTACAGAAAAGTCCCTTGTTCTGCAGTGGCACATGTTTCTTTAAAGGCTACAGCCCTCCTGTATGAGCACATTTCACTTTAATCAATAAACAGAACTTCAATGGAAGATCAATAACCATATAAGAAAATATGAACAACTAAAATTTAGACTACATAGGAAAATAAAACAGGCAAATTGACAAAAATTCAGGCAGATTTTTTTGCTCCTGATGAAGGGGGACCCATTTTGCCCTTGAAATCGATTGGGATTTTACAAAATCTATACCGAATACAAGCTTGTTAATTTGCCTGTTTTATTTTCCATGGCAACATGTTTCTCTTACATCTTAAATAAGAAAATGTTTTAAGATGGATACTGACTGAAACAGTCATATTAAAATACCATAAAAACAAAGGTTTCAAAACAGTTTTGGCAGACATTAAATTTTTTGTAAAAAAAGGGACAATACAATAAACTGGCTGATTATTCATTTAAAGCAAAGCATACACATTAAACTGCTTTCAGGGAGGACTTCTTTTTGTTGGATTGATATTTCAGTAGAAAAGAGCTTTCGGTTAGAGTAGAGAGAAGGGTACCCCTTGTATTATTGCGAAGTTGTTGTTTCATTTATATATTTTTACCGAGTTTTCCAAATTCACCTCATTTGATAGGATGTCGTTCATTCATATTTTACATTTTGATACTCATTTCAATGCAGTGAAGTTTAATTATATATGTCTAACTAATTAATTAATCCTCATTATTAAGGATTATTTTAAAAGCATATACAGATCTCAAAGCTTACAATTTCCAGTCAACAATTCTTAATAATACATCTCCCAAACTGCTAATGTACACTGACAAGAGATAATTCATGATTTATGGATAGACAGACTACTTGAAATTGTAATAAATGATGCTTACTGGATCATTTTAGATATAACTAAAAGACATTTTCACCTTCATGGTATAAAACAAGTACAATAATGAATAATAACATGACAAAAATACCATGCTTGAAGTCACATAAAAAATATTAATTTCATTATAATTATTATTACAAAGAAAGGTTATATTTAATTATTATTACATATATGCATACTTAATAAATCAATTCATGCAAATTGTTAAATGAATTAATTCTACTAACTGCTCACACTTAATTACTGAAGTTAATTTAATTAAGAGAGATCAACATGAAACAATTAGTAAATGAACTCTGATCACAGTGATTTCAATAAATTGAATTTCTACGGAAAAAAAAAAAAAATAATAAGTCAATAATGAAAGATCTATAACTGTTGTTTATAATAATTATTGTTTCATATATACATATTTAATTTAAGCACTGAGTTAATTTCATTCAGACGATTTCTACGAAATAATTATTCAAATGAGCTTTGATAAATATGATATCAATAAACTAACCTGTAATTTCTATGGGATCATCCTGGGCCTGGGGAGCCACCGTGCTGACGGTGGAATCGCTACTCATGTCGGCTGTAACGTTCGGCCCATCCACCAACATATCTCCCTCCACGCCTTGCCGTATCGGCGGCGTCCCAACCACACACACGATCACTTTTTTCGCCAATCCGACGTTAATTTAGGCAAAATGTAAACATCAAGAAACCATCCGAAGTCGGAAAAACAATGCTTGATCCCGCCAACCTTGTCTCTCAGAGCTTTTCGAGTCCAGGTCGAGCCGTTAGATCAAGGGCAAGGCTTAATGTTACACTCTTCCTTCGCTCGCACAGCAACTTCACTTTCGAACGCAGTGAGCAGGCGCGGAAAGTGGGTTAAAGCAAGTCGCTTACATCAACGAAATTAGGTCACTAGTGTTAAAGTGGCTGCTGTGGATGCATACCGAAAAATCGAAAGTGAAGTAACGATGAGCATTATGTAACATCTACCAACACACAGCAAATGCTAAGAATGTCTTTTCCCGATCTCAAAGACAAAAGAAACGAAGAGCTATAGAGGAGGAAATGGCATTCGTTGATGTAACCAACACAATAAACACGAGTCACGTGGTAACGCTATCGATGCTGTCCGCGTTCCATCACTTGCCTAATGAAGAAGCGCCGCGCACGGTACTTTTTTTTTTTTCCGCGCAAAGATTCTGTAGTAAAGTTCTATTCTGAACACGGAAAAACAAAATGGAAAAATAAAAGAACAATTGGGGATTTTCCAGATACCTTTCAGATAGCTCAAACGCGAAATTTGATCACTAATATAAAATTTAAATACATGAAACAAATGCAAGAAAACGTGGATAAGTATGGAAATGTAAAATATATACACATATATATAAATAAATCATAACCCAGCTGACCATTTGCAAAAAAATTATTTCCCTGCTAAAACGTATCTGAAGTAAAATTTTATTTCTTTTTCTTTTTTTAACAGCTTCTAAATTTAGTTCCTGGTTGCTTTTCCATACCCCTGGGATGAGTCAAATTATTTTCATTTCTTTATCGACTAATTAAACAGCAAAAACTGCCATTTTCTAACCAAAATAATTTTTCTTTATCATGGCAGTTCTCATGTACAGTTATTATAATTATTAGGACTTAATTTCTGACATAAAATACAATCCTAAAACAGAGAAGCCCTAAAGTTCTGACTCAGAACTGAAGTAATCAAATAAGTCAAGTGAAAAGAAAAATATTTATTGAGATATAAAAAATAAAAAATAAACATTTTTAAGATTCTGTTTTTAATATGTGACTGAATACACATTTTAAGTCCAATATTTTATGAAAACTACTCTGTTTAGTGCCTATAATAAATAAATTTTATATCTAGAGTTTTAATATACATCATAATATAAACTATAAAAACTGTGGAAACTAATCTTACATGCACTGATTTGCATAGTATTTACACTGAGTATTATTTTATGCAAATGCCAAACTATCATAGACACGTCAGCAACAACATAAATTTTATCAGTTTGGAAACAATCATATATTTAACAATATTTTTAAACCATAATTTATTACAAACTGTATTATGCATATAGTTTAGCATAAATTTTCCACGTATATTTTAATAGTTTAGGCTAAGATAACTGAATATGGTAAAGCTTAGAAGTGTATCTCCCTAATGGAAGGGATGTCATCATGGAGGAATTTCTAAAGGAAATATTACACATAGGGAGAATCACGAAAAACAATTAAGCAGCCAGCCCTTTGTTTGGGATGTGTATCTGAATATTTACCATAATTATAATTATCATACATGCATATTTGGGTATATGTGTTTAAAAATCACTTTTTTTTTTTAACAGCAGAAAAATATTCAGCATTCTCATTTGATATTCAGTGATTAACATTTATTGCCAAACATGGTATAGCTTTTATTATTACTGCTGTATCCACAACCAGGCCTTGTTGCAAGCACAGGCAACTAGATAACTGCTTAATTTTTTAAAAATTTTTTTTTATTTTATTTTTTTTATTATCTTTTAAGTGTATCAACTAAGGTTCTTTTTTACAAGTGCTATAGGAATATTATCTTTTGTATTCACCATTTACTTAATTTACCCATGGTTACAATTCTACCGATAACATAACATGTTAAAAATGTTACAACCACTTATTAATTATTACAATTTAATTCAGCTTATTGTCTTAGTTACCTATTTTGTACTCTATTACAATGCAGATAATATTAATGTACAAATCTATAGATGAAATTTCATTTTGTTAACCAATATTATAAGTAAACTGAAGATATTATACCAGAAATAAAAAATAAAGATTACTCATCTGGAGAAGTTTTTTAAAGTTAAATTAGCTTTTTAAATGAGTGCTCAGAAATTTTTAATTTTTGCAAAAGTTCTTATTTAGAACAGAATTTAATATTTGATTTTTAGACTTTTATTTGGTATTGCTCAATTGATTATGATGATAGCAGACTGTCTTATAATTTAGATTTTCTAAAAAGGAGCTTATTAGTCCACTGCTTCTTAAACTTAAAAAAACAAAATTTAAAATAAATACCAATTAGTATCTAACCATAATTAATATATGTTTTGAATATCTTTAACATGACTCATTCACATTGCTTTAGCTCAACATGCTTTAGCTTTAACATGACTCATTCACATTGCTTTAGTTTTGTTTCTTAGTATCATACATAAATAGAATCTTCTGTCAGCTTCATGGCCTGTTACTTGAAGTTTTGCAAACCTTCTGGTAAATTATTCACAAAGAGGATATTTATGATTGTCAAAATTGCTCAATAGTTTTTAAAAGAATTTTTTTTTTTTCTAAATACTGCTATTTGATGTTATAAAACTATTCTTAAAAAAAAAAAAAAAAAAAAAAAAAAAAAATTGCGTTTTTGTATAATAATACTTTTAACTATTTTAATACATATTATTATTCATCTCTTTTTGATGGATTTATGAAGCCCATTAAATTGTCTCATTGGTTGACAAACAATATTAATCTACATTTATGGATTATAAAATTTCCAATATACCTGTACTCTAAATAATTGGTAAATTACATTTACAAATAAGAGTATTAACAATAATGAGCTATTTTAATTAACATTAATGTTTACATTATTGAAAGTTCTTTAAAGGCTTCTTATTAAGTTCTTTGAATTCAAATGGAGCCTTTGACATCAGAAAATACTGCTCTTGTTAAGGAAGCATATTGAGTAACAAGATGTTAAAATTCAAGGAAGCAACATCACTGAGACACTCTAGAAGAATTATTTTGTGCAATCTACTCGCACCTTCATATGAATAAGATGCCTGAAAAATTATGATTGTCAGTAATTCAAAAACAGCAGCATATCAATTGCTATAAGGAAAATAAAGCTATTAAAGCACCAGAAAAAACAAAAATGTAGCGATGCATGTAAAAGATTAAAGTCATAAATTTTTGGGATTCACAAAGGATCCTCAAGACAGACATGTTCCTGAATGGAAGACTAATTATGTAAGTCTTCTGCATAAACTCTGAAATAAAATTAAAGAGAAAGAGCATGGAATATTGAGGTAAGGAAAAATGCTCTAATTTATGCAAGGGTTATTAACCCCCCCCCCCCCCCAAAAAAAAAAGAAGAAGAAAGAAATTGGCCATCCCTCTAACAGTCCAGGTCTAGCTCTGAGTAACTATTATCTGAAGTCAGAGAGATCTGAGATTTGTGGAAGAAAATTTAATGATGATCAAGGGAAGAAGATAAGAATTACAGAACATTTAACAAATCTTCAATGGAACAGACTTCAATTTATTAAAACTTCAGTTTAGTTTTTAATGGAACAGAACTGCTAATTAAAAATATAAAATATGTCAAATTACAAGGGGGATTATACTAAAAATAAACAACACAGTTTATTTTCTGTTTCTTTTAGAAGTATATCAGGCTGAAAATTTTTTGATCTGTTTTCATACATATGTATATAGGATGCAAAAAGCGAAAATAATAAAATGAAACTAATATTTTGGATAAGTGTTTACTGTCAGGACTAATTAAATGAACATCAATGCATTAAATACAATACCAGTAAAATTACACAAAGGAAAGTATGTTTACATACGTTCAACATGCATGCTATCAGTCATTAGGGATGACAGATTAATGTTTTTTTCTTATCATACAGGAATTTCAGATATATTGATTCAACCATACAATAGAAAACACATAAGAAAATAATTAAACCTTTTGAGAGTTCCTTTGCCTTACTGCTAAGAAAGCCTTCTTCAGCAGAATCTTTAGTAAGGAGAGAAGTAATTATCGACCTTTAAAATTGTTAATTATAATTAACAATTTTATAGGTGCCAGAATAGAATCCAAGAAAATTTCACACATATACCAGATTGTCATTTGGTAGCATCCATTTTCTATTTCCACAATCAATGGCAAATGCTAACAGAATTTATCACTGTTGTTGCCAATCACATACTTCAACAAACTAATATTTGATATATTGAATCCCACTACTAAGGCTTGGAAATGAAGTTAAAAAGTTAATGGATACTCATGGCTGAAAAAAAAAAAAAAAACACTGATCTCTAATACCATAAAATAAGTTTCCACTGTTTGACAAAGTTCCTGTTCACCTTGGTTCCTGGCGTTTGATTAGGTGAATGTGAGATCCTTCTCAAACTTACTAAAAGTAATGAATTTTTGCAACTATTCATTACATGCAATGAAAGAATGGTTACACCATTTCATTTCAGGATTCAAGAGAAGCATATTGGAGTAGTAACACAAACTTTCTACCCCTCAAAGAAAAGCAGAATGCAGTCATCATGTTATAAGAACACAGGATTTATTATTTGCATCATGAAAGGTGTTATATATTTGGACTTTGTGGCCAGAAAAATCAGAATTAATGCCTAGTACTACAACAAGTAAGTACCGTACGAAATGGCATCCAGAAGAAAAGACCTGGAACGCTTCCTGAATCAATCGCAAATTATTGACAGCAACACAGTATATACAGGTTTCATTTGGAAAGCCATTTGTAATTACAATATAAGTAAAGTTCTTAAAACAGATTATACCTTATTTAATTTCTCATTCCAGTATATTTTTTATATAATTATTTATCTTTTTTTACTGTTTAAAGTTTTAACGTTTTGTGATGTGTCACTCATTCTCAGACTCGTGAGAAATGATTCTTGCTCCATTTTGCTACAAGATGGCCCAATACATTGCCTCATCATTTTGTCACCTACTCATTTTGCATAATGGCTTCGACTTTGGAGAGTGGTGATGTCTACGCATGCAACTGTTCTTAATCAGTAGCCGTTTTAAACCTGCATTTCTATTTTTTTGTGGAAATAGATTCTTTTGGCTGTATAATAATAGTTTTATTAGGACTCTACTAATACTGCAATGACAGCATCAACTTCTAAGCAAAAATGCCAACAATATTCAGTGAAATATTTAAAATTTTATACTTTCACCAATGAACGAAAGAAAACTGCGGTGCCTTCTTTGTGAGAAAACTTTTAGCAATGATGCCATGAAACCGGCCAAAGTAAAAGATCACTTCCAGATTCCAATAAAAAGAATAAAAATTTGGATTATCTTAAAAAACTTAATGAAGCACATGCACATGCATAATTATACCTGCTAAACTGTCATTGAAATTGTAATAAACATATTCTGTCACTGTTTTAAGAAGCCTACCACTGAATGCAAATTCAGTAAAAAGGTGCATCAACGAAATGAACAAAGATGCGGAAAATATTGTGCTTTCGGAACTGAAAAATTGCAAGTTTCCTATACAACTTGATGAAGCCACTTTTGGAAGTTCTCTTCTTGTGGTTTATGCAAACTATTTTAGTAAAATAAAATGCCATATTATTGATGAATTTTTATTTGCTAAATATGTCGAAACTGACACAAAAGGAAGAGCAATATATCAGTGCTTGGAAGGGTACTTGAACAAGCATGAAATTTCAATAAATAATATAACTGCAATAGCAACAGATGGGGCACCTGCTATATGGTAGGCCGCTACTGAGATTTTGCGACTTTATTTCAGGAAAAAGATACCTGGTATACTTACCATTCATTGTGTCTTATATAAAACTCATCTAGCAGCAAAGTATCTTGGTAATGATCTGCAAAATACATTACAGTTGTGTATTAAAGCAATTAATCAAATGAGAGCACAACCTCTTAAATCACGACTGTTTGCTAACTTTGCGATGAAAATGATGAACTATCAAATAAAATACATTAGAATTCCAGAAATCCATAAAGCTTGGGACCAGAGGTTGAGCGGATTTTAGGATTTTGCAGATTTCAGGACAGAAAAGATAAAGCATAATATTTGGACTAAAAGTGTAAAATGAATAATGCGTATTAGATACATTTAATTAAATTATTATATACATTATTGCAATAATTTATTATATGCATTAAATTATTACATATATAAATTGATTATATTATTCATTGTATTATATGTACACAGCATCAAGGTTTGCTGATTTCGCCTCATGCAAAGATTTCCGGTTTCGGATTCTGGTGTTAGAATCACTGTTGCTGTAAAATTTCAACAGCTTTTTTTTATTTTTCGGTATATCATACACAATCATGTAGCAATTCCATACCATTCTGCTATAAATCGAGGAGTAGCACCTGCTTCCATCTCTTGCAGAATTTGCACTTTTCGCATTACCATCAATGCAACGTGTTTACGTTTTTCAATGTTGCAAGCAGTAAAATCACGAGTGCGTTTTTTTATCTGTCATTGTATTAAAAAGGGCTGAAATTTAAAATATTTTTAATTTATCCACAAAATATCTGGATAAAAAAAGGCAGCACTAAACTATCTCATGAAATGAAATAACGAAGCTCAGAAAATACAACAACGTGAATCAGTTGAGTGAATCGTCTGCTTTTTTACCTCAATGCAGATTAGAGGGAAAAAAAAACTTATTCATTTTAATGTTTTTATATCAATAATCTGTTTGACTCATTATTATTCAGTAATTATGACATCATTATTCGGTAAGTATTTTATTCTTTGATATTTCATACTCGATGTTGCGGTTTCCGGAACCTATAAACTGAATGTTCATATTCTGAGAGGCAATGTGGTTTTCAGGTTGGCGGATTTTCGGAATTTGACTGTATTGTCAAACCACAACAACACACCGAAATACAACAATACAACGGTTGTCAAGAGGTGATTGTTTACAAAGACTTGAATTGTTTGAAACAATTACAGAATTTCTTACAGAAATTAATCCAGCCTTAAGTGATCAATTGAAAAAAAAAAAAAAAAAAAAAAAATTTTTTTTATTTGGCAGATGTACTTCCAAAGTTCAGTGATATTCAAACACCTCTCCAAGGATTACATTAATTCAAGTATGGGCAATTATAAGTCTGTATTGAATGTTTGTCCGTAATTTAAGAATGTTAGTTTACAAAGTTATAAGTACAGACAATTAATTACAAGTTTAAAGCTTCATTGTTATGTAAAGATTTTCAATACTTTTCAAATTTACGACAATTGGATATAACAGACGAAGAATTGGAAATATTACAGTACAAAGTCCGAAATCTGGACTTGTCGGGATTTGTGCGATTCCGGATTATAGATCATCAATTTAAATCTGGTAAGATGGCATGCAGAAATTATACAATTTAAAAATATGAAACCGTAATTTATGAAATAAAGAGCAATTATAATCTAAAGGGTATCAAAATTTACAAAAAAAAAAAAAAAAAAAAAAAAAAAAAAAGCTTAATATTTATTTGTTTACTTTATTAAAGATTTCTTTCAATCTAAGTTGTTTAAGTTGCTTCGTTTTTTTGTGCTAAATGCGCATGCGTAAGGTTGTGGCTTTGAGGTCCAGATTATAGATCATTCCAGATAATGGACGTTCGGATTGCAGACTTTGTACAGTACAAATTACCTCCAAAAATTAAGTGATGGTTTTAAATTATGCTTTGAAGATATTGAAAATATGGATATCCCAAAATATCGCTTCTTGACCTTTTGGCTAAGAACAAAGTGTTAATATTCCAGAGAGAATTATTGTGCCACCTTCTGCTCAAGTTCAAAATATCAATAGTCATTTGCAAGATGAAGTCATTGAATTACTAGTTGACCTTGAAGCAAAGATGCTTTTTAATAATTTAACTGTGACTAAATTTTGGATAAATATAAATATTATGGAAAAATATCCAAAACTTTGTAATATGGCATTCCCCATTTTAATTGCATTTCCAACCTTATATAGGGTTGAATCTGGCTTCAGTCACGTTAATTCTCTTTTAACGAAGCAGAGCAATAAATTGAATGTAGAGCTCCGAAGCAATTTAAGACTGAACCTAACAAATTTTAAACCAGACATTGCTAACATAGCCAAGCATCATCAAGACATCTTTCTCATTGATTTATGTAACAATTTGATTTTGTCAAAATAAAATAAATCATTTAAGAAACAGGAAAGTTTTTTTTAAAAGAGAGGGATGATAAAATAATTAAAATTTTTGGAAACCCTGCTTATAGGAATTGTTTGGAAAAGCAACACATGCAAAGTTTCACTAAATACAAAGTTCTGTGTTCTGAGAAAGGACTACTAACTACCTAAAACTTTACTCCTTCCGAGCACCCCCTCAAAAAAGTAGCAAAATAAATGTTTTTCCCACTTTCATTACAACTTGAGCATTATTTAAAGCAGCAGGCAAAACGTTTTTGTATGGCACAATTCTGAAAAATACAAACAAATAAATACACAAGATTTTAATAAAAATATTTAATACTCTTGAAGGCCCAAAACAAATAAATTTACATAAAAAATAGATACAGTCTGGCTGTAATAGTTGGCACAACAATGGAGTTAATAATGGACATGATCATATTTACAGAATGATTATTAAGAAATGGTCTTCCAGATATATGCTTCACTCCAGTTGCAGGATTTTCAACTATTTTACCAGTTCTCATGTCCAGCCCTGAAAAAACAAAACAATTCCATGCACTAAAATTTATATGAAAAAGTAAAAGCAAAATTTATGAATGTGTGTATCATTTTAATAACTTGCTAATACAATTCAAAACACCTAAAAATTTACCAATATTTGCATGGTGCCAATTATTTTTATTCTATACTTTATTTAAATGCTGCAAGAACAACTAAAAGTTTTCTATGTTGAATTACATCATCACATAAATATAAACTAGTATCTAAAGCTATCCTTATACATACATAAAAATATCAAAAGGACATTATATAAAAATAGGATTTTACAAATCTGTCCATCAATTTCATTTACTGTTTCTTTGAAATATATAGAAAGCAAACTTAATTATCATTATAAAATCCATTTTGATTTATTTGTTTTTCGAAATGGAAATAATGACATATCATCCCAAAACAGAGCAAATTGTTTGTACAACACCTAAGAATTTCTACAATTCAGGCTTGGATTTCAGTGTTTATTGAGTCAGAAAATGATAAGGTACTATAGGGGGTGGAGAGCTTTTGGCAATTCAGACACACATTATGGGTGTGGAAAAATGGCTAAAAGTTTCAAAATATACTCTGACTTATGGAAACAATTCAAAGATTATGATACTACTTGGTGAAAATTTCCCACTCTGACTGGTATAGTAGTTAGCAATGATAGGTGGCATATTGATGGGTTTGGATTCAAGTCCCAGAGATAGCATGCATTTTGTAGTACCAGTGACTATGCAGCATGGGAACACTTAAAATACTAGTAAGTTATATGAAATATTTTCACCAATGTGTTAAGAAACATAACTATTATTGTGATGTTGTTCCGAGCATTAATGAACTATGTGTTTTATGCATTGCCTTCACTGACGATTATGGTTTCTTTCCATCCATTATTGGCATCAAACATCAAATAAACTTGCAATTTTTAAGTGTTTTTATTCACAGTAACACAACAGTATATTTTTCATATATCTCACAAACCTTTCTGATTCACTTCAGAAATATCCTTAAGAAAAAAAAAAAAAAAAAAAATCTAAAATGAACATAATTTTTTAAAATATATATATATATTCATTTTGTTTAATTATCTCTAAGTGCATGTCAGTATCACAATTTATAAGTGTATCTGTTACAAAAACAACCCAAAGTCTGGTAAAAATCCAAGGTTTAACCGGTAAAACCTAGCTTCTGCTAAACTGGCTTGGTATAGGTCCAAAGTATACCTTTTATTGAAGTATGATTCCATTTTAGCCTTTTACCAAGCCTTAGCAGTAAAATCTAGGAGTTACCAAAGCCTTCCGCTAAAAGCCTGAAACGAGAGATTACTTATGATAGTGTTTTCCATTCGCAGATACATTGTATATAGTGTGTCTCAAAAAGATTAAAACACACTTTAATTTTTAAATGATAATATAAATTGTAAAAGTGATTAAAATAAAGTATGATTTAAGATTATGTCGACTGAACTGTCTTACAATTATTTTTCAAAGAGTTACAACAAATAAAAAATTCAATATTTATGCCATTTTAAAAATTAGATCCCATGTAAAAAAACTGAACTAGTGCACAATTCTCTCGATAACTACTGAGGAGATTTCAATAATTCTTAAAAATAATTTTAGCAATAGTTAAAAAAATTAAATTGAAAGCTCAGAAAAAATTATGAAATTTAAAAAATAAGAAAAATGTAATATGTTTTTCTTTAATATTACTACTTTAATACTGAGGAATGGTGACTAGCACGTCGCGCAGCTGCACCACTTGCTCAGAGCATATGCTGACACACTCCGAGGCCCAAAGTTAAGAAAGCAGATTTCGAGGCACTGCAGGCTGTGGCCCACTAGGGCTTTTGTGCCACTGAGTTTAGTTTACTTTAATATTTCTTTATGTACTACTTAATATACCTTACTACCTATTACAACAAGGTTGATTGATATGGCATTTTTAATTTTGAAGTAGATCAGCTGATTTTGCACAAACACATCTTCTTTGAACAGTTACATTTTCAGAGTCCTTGTCTCCCAATTAAAGAAAGTTTTCTTACTACTTCATATACACTTATTTCTTCTGCATCAACTTTTTTGATGTTTAAAAATATTTCTTTTCAAAAAGTCAACTGGTTTCTTGTGTACAATGATTTTAATTTTTCAAACTTAGTCATACTTTAATTTTTCAAACTTAAGAACAAAAACTCTTCTTTAATATCTGTAATAATGGCTATTACTGATTTTGAATTTATTTTTGATCCATCCATATCAGGTACTTTAACATTTTGTCTGTGAGCAGGTTATCGAAAGCGTTTATTAAACGCAATCTTCATCTTCTCTGCCTGCTCCTCAAGTTCTTCTTTAGTGATAATCACACCTGTTGTACCAGAGCATATATCTTTTTTTTTTTTTCGCCAATTTGAACTTCAGTATCAATTTCAATCTTATGCACAATTCTTCCTCACATATTCACCTCATTCTATTATTACTATCTTGCAATTCTAATTCAACTGTTGATTTGAGATTAGTGCCTTCATCTTCTGTATTAACAATGCATTCATTATTAATATTTATAATTCTTTTTAAGTCCTCTTCAGTGGCCATGTTACAAATCAAATTATGTAGCAAAACTGAGTTAGCAATTCCCAGTTTCATAAGACGACCAAACATAGCTTCGTAAGGTGAACATTTGATTCCTTCGAGATATGATTTGTTTTTCATTGCTTGAATGAATTTTAATCCTTCTGACCACTTTTCTGTGTTATTTGCTTCCATCCATGTCGCCAACATGTTTTCAACATCTTGGTTTGTCCATTCGACAGAACCTTGGAATTAACTGCCTGTGTCTTGGTTTACCATGAATTTGTAATATCTTGTCTTCTTCGCTAACATAAAGTTCAAATGATCTTGCAAAAAAAAAAAACAAAAACTGGCGACTTCTCGCACAGGCATAATACCACCCCAAAGGAAGGGTAAAATAAATCCTTCATTATCCATCAAACTCTTAACACAAATGCATGTACTTTGTTCTTAAATAACACTGATGACCTGGGGTGGAACTTAAGAATAATTTTACAATAAATTCAAAGATAAATAGTAGTGCTGGACTAACAATTCAGTTTAAAGCTAACTAGACTGACTCAAGAACCTACCTGGTGATATACTTATTAAATGGGCAAAAAGGCGAATCAGTAACTCAGCATAACAACAGCGAGGACAGAATAGTAATGTGCGTTGGCTAGCAAAATCACTCTGAATAAACTACTAGTTTTGTCTGTTTTCATACTCTCTTCATTTAACTTCACTTGAATCCTGGCGAGGAAATGTGAAGGGAAAATGAGAGATTCAGGAAAAATACCAAACTTAAAATAATTTGTTATGCAAACTAAGGGAAACCCTACAAACTATTTTTATATAACTCAACATTTCCCATAAACTGTTTACGATTCGGTCACAAAATTCCCTCTTGTTGTTGGATTGGAGACTGTTTGGGGTTTCAAAAGTTGTGAAAAATATCCAGAAGATGATATGCTACTTCATCAGCTCTTTTACTGTGTAAACTACGGAGTAGACAAATTTTGTAAGATGATCTTGATAAACTAAAATAAATTTCATATCACAATCAGGGTTGGATTACATATCTATTAGGTCGACTAGGCATCAAGAATTCATTTCAATATGTAGAAATGGTTTGATTACAACCCCCTTTCTCACAGTTATCTGTTTTTTTCTGATATGGTTCACATAGTCTCAAATATGTGATGATACATCTTCCTTTTACACTGAAATTGCCTTCTGTATCTCAGAAAAGATACAAAGATAAGAAGGAGGAGTAAGTAACAATTCCATGACCAAATTTAATAAATACTTATACAGTCAAAAGTCGTTAATCCGGACACCCATAATCCGGAATGATCTATAATCCGGACCTCAAAGCTACAAACTTTCTGCGCATGCGTCAACACATAATGCGTTCACACATGCGCATATACGTTGACACATGCGCGTAACACCTTTACGCATGCGCATATGCGTGTAATACTTTTACGCATGCACGTTTAATGTGTAATGGACGGTATAAGCTAAGTTAAAATTATCTAATTATCTATTTCAGTTAATGTTGCATATTGCGTTGTTCCTTAATCTTCGAATTGGATCCGACTTATTATTTTTTGCAGACTGTTAGAGCAATTTTATAAAAGTAAGCTTGAACTTTCGATTATGTCAAATAGAATTTCCGATGCTGGAGCTACCACAGGATTTACAAAGCAAAAGTATGTTTCGATGTCCATCAAACAAAAAGTGGAATTGCTGCAAAAAATGGATAAAGGCATATCCTTTGTTTCTCTAACCATTCCGAAATCTGTTTATCGAAATTTCACGCTGCTTTGGCCTGGGAGGGGGGGGGGGGGCACGTCGCGGCGTCGCAATGAACTGGAAGTTGATCTGTCAGCAACTATCCTTATCTTCAGGGCAGATGTTTTTATTTTATTCCAGCTTATAATTCCTTACTAAATGTAGTATTTTCATCTCGATTGTACTCCGTCCTTTGATATGATTTAAATCAAATTCCTCGTCATTCATAAATATCAACGAATACACATCAAATAGTTTTCTGGTTGCAATTTTCTAATTTCGACTAATGTGTAAAGTATGCTTTACGCATGTTTTTTGAATTGAAAGAAATGTTTAATAAAGTAAAAACAAATAAAATATTAAGCTTTTTTTTTTTTTTTTTTTTGTAAATTTTGATACTTTTTAGATAATAATTGCTCTTTATTTTATAAATTAAGGTTTAATATTTTTAATTTTATAATTTCTGCATGCTATCTTACCAGATTTAAACTGATGATCTATAATCCGGAATCGCCGAAGTCCCGACGAGTCCGGATTAAAGACTTTTGACTGTATATGCCCCCCCAAAACAATGATAATAATAATAAACACACCAATGCCAAGTGATTTCTTTATAGTACTTTTTTTTTTTAACTACTGTCAATTTGAATAAATTTTGATTATAATATTCATACTGAAGGCAAAATACCTCAGAATCAAGACTTTTATCCAATCGCTTCCAGAAAAAAAAAAAAAAAAAAAAAAGGGGGGGGGCAGCCATGATTTCAGTCTTTTTTTCTAAATACCATTATGTATATACGCAATAGATTAGCAAAATTCGATAGTAAAGTAGATGCATAAAGAAGAAACTCACAGACATGAACACATTCAATTATTTCCTTTTTGTTTGTGGTTGATACTCATTTTTCATTAATCCAACACAAATAAAATAAACACTACAGTGCCTTATTCTTAAAGAATTTTTTACATTGGTACTCATAGCCTTGTGAAATATATTTTTGGAGAGAGCAGGTAGCGGCAAGTTGCAAGAGCAAAGCAGAAAGCAAACAGCGACACATTCAGAAGAAGCCATGTAAGAGAAGAGTCAAAATGTTTTGGTTCTCAAAAAGTGACTGGCTATAACATACTTGTATTGCAGCATTGCACAAAATCATATGCTGCAGATTAATTTTTGACAAGGCACAGTTTTAATTAATATATTATAAATAGTTACTAAATTTTGGAAAGAGAAGAGAAATACTCAAATTAAAATGAAGAATAAGAGGGCTAGGGCTAATTAAAATCAGAAGTTTGCTTTACATATTTTTATGGTGTGTATATATCTACTATATAATAGAATACAATCTTAATGCCACAAATATAACAGCAATATTCATTCTTTATTACATTTAATGTTCTATAATATTATTTTGTTCCCTTATTTTTGTTTCTCGTCTTTACCAAAAAAAAAAAAAAAAAAAAAAACTGATAGATGTAAAATAAAACAGATAGCTAAAATTTGGGTATAAGTGACTCACCTGAATACTGCAATGTTGCACCAATCACAGAATCTATTATAGAACCAAAAAGACCCGCAAAGGCTCCCATACAAGTTAAAAGAAAGACTTGATGAAGAACAACATTTCTGTAACATAATACTAAGGCTAACAAGTAAGCTACTCCAATAATGGATCCTCCTAAGGCACTAAAAAAAAGTCCAGCAGCTGTAAATCCACCATTGGTCCCTACAAAATAAAATTATTTTCAATAATCATCAAGCATAAAATATTAAAAAAAAAAAAAAAAAAAAAAAAAAAAAAAAAAAAAAATTTGCTCAGACAGTTTAAAACTACAGTTAGATAAAATAAATTTTTCTTATAAATATAATTATTTAATGTCTTAAAAATTAAGAAAATTGAGATTTTATTATTATTTAAAAAACTACTTCGTACATTCTTATGCTACTTTGTGAACATGGATAATTCCATATGTTTGCATGGCTTTGTCAATGTAAGAAAGAAAGTAGGAACATGGGTACAAAAGATGTTTAGTTGATTTATAAATAGTTTATATTTGTTACCGTGAAAGACCGAAATTGAAGAATGTTGACTCTCACCGGAGAATATCAACATTCACCAAATACGTGGGTGAAAGATCGAATATTGCACTACATTCTTGTATATTCGGACCTTCACCGGTGTATGTCGACAATCACAGATAGCCTCTGGTGAAAGTCGAAAAGAGAGGTCATAAAGTGCATAATAGTTTAAGTTGTTGCAATAAATAAGATTTGAATGACATAATTTAGTAAGTTTTTTATTACTGTTATTTTATTTTTTCATTTAGAACATACTGTATAATTAAGTAAGTTTTTAACTTCTATTATTTTCCTTTCTCATTTTGAATGTATTGTGTGTTTTAGGTTCTCATGTTCTTAAGTTCTTATTTCAAGTCTCAAGTGCATTTATTCGCAACTGAATTACGGAGAAGAAAATATATTATTGTTATATGTTCAACATTCACCATTAGTACATAGTGAATGTCGACATTGGCCGGTGTAAGTCAGAAATAAGAGTACTTGGAAAATATTTCAGACATACAAAAAGAGACTATGTGAATGTTGACATTCACCAGTGAAAGTCGACATTCTGCAGATTTCGGTGTTTCACCGTAACATATTCATTATTCATGAAGGAAAACAATGTACATTTTATGCTGGGCAAGTTCTGGAAGAAAAGTTTAATATTTTATTTTGGACTGTAGGCCATCTATTATTAATCACAATTATTGTATAATTATTTCATAAGCAATTTCTATTTTATTCACATCTGATCGCACTGGACCTAGTTTATCTCCACTGCTTTTGGGCATAATTTTAAAATTTCATAGATATGAAACTGCTTTCAATGAAAGCATAGCCAAGGCTTTTTAATGACGGGGATCATAGAAACAAATAAAGATTATTTAAAATATCTAAGGTTCAGAGACAGCAAGAATACACAGTTTTAAGGTTTAAACATATTCTATTCAGATTTTGCTATAGTCCAGTGGTTTTGGGGACAATGATAAAATTCTGCATTACAAAATACCAAAGGACAAGCTTTGAAAGTTATGAAATGTTAGGTTCCTTTTTATATTATGATGTAGACACAGTTGAAGATGCATATTGATTAACTTCAGATCTAGTTAAAATTTTTTAGCATGCTGAGATGTATCTTGGTCAAATTCTGAAGAACTTAATTCCTGGTGGATTAAAAGGGGTTATAGTATGAATTAGCTGAAGACATAAAGCTTTTGGGTGTGGTCTGGACCTCCAAAACAGATAAAATCCAAATGAATTACAAGTTTTCAGAAAACCATCAAATAAGAGTGCTGAGACACAAAAAGAACTATTCTCCTAACAGTGGGCAGAATTTATAACCTCATAGGAGAGCTTCAACCTTTTTTGATGAGAATGAAAATCTTACTACAAACAATTTGGACATTCGGAGTGAACTCAGATGATAACCTTTCAACAGAAATAAGGACTGCATTTACTGGCGAGCTGAATTACCCAAAGATTCAGCTCGCCAGTAAATGCAGTCCTTATTTCTGTTGAAAGACAGTATCCAAAGATTTTTTTCTTCCAAGAAAGTATTCTGATAGCTGTGAAAAAATGTAATGTAAGTCACCATGTATTTGTTAATACTAGCCCTAAAGCATATGGCACTGTAAGATGTTTTAGATACCTTGATTTAAAAAATAGCATTTGCACCAGTTTCATTATTACAAAGGGTCACACGACTCCAGTGAAACCTACGACTCTTCCTCACTTTAAACTGATGGCTGCTTTGGTAGCTGCCAAAGTGTCTTAAGTATTTGTCAAATTTGTTTTCTGAATTGTGCCAGCAAACATTTCTTTGGAGTGATAACCAAACAGCTATCCACTGGATAAAAGAATATGTCAATAAATGGAAGTCCTTTGTATCAGAGTTTTTGAGATTCAGTCATTCGCTGGCCCATGGAGGTAGGAAGATGTATGGAGTGGCCCTAAACCGGTTTCCCCCATACCCTACTTTGAAGCACTGGCGATCTCTTCGTTGGTGACCAAAATATTGGGTAATTTACCATTAATTTCAATGGGTTTTGACATGATTGGATGTAAATATTTTGTAATTACCTCTTAAATATGCATATAAATGTATATATTTTCTTTTTCTACAATACTTCAGAATCCTAAGTATATGAAAAGCAAACATTTTTAAACAACATTTCATCCTGAAAGGAATAAAATGCTATACTTTTCACAAAACGGTTTGCTTAGAATGGTTTAATTTGAATGAAATATTTTCACAAGTTTTCGTTAATTACATTAGAAAGAAATTTTAAGCTAATTCGATTTTATTCGGTTAAGGATTACAAAATTTAAGATCAAAGTTTATTGTATTATTAATATTAAGATTATGCATTCATTTGTTTCTATTTATAGAGCTTCTTCCTAAAATACTTTCTCAAATATGACATGATTTTTTAGCTGCTGAGGCATCTTTTAAATCGAAAAATACAAGTCAATTTATAATTAATGCTCTATCCAATCCATTTCAAATTAGAGCACCTTTTATTTTAATAGGGAAATACTTTAAATAGTACTTAACTTTCTCTGAATATTTCTGAAAGGGAATAAAATAAGGATTATATTTTAAAAATAACTTAAAACTTGGAACTGAGTTATTATAAAATGTAAGGGGAATAATTCTTTTAAAATTTAGATACACTTTAATAATTAGATTTCTTCACAGTAACTTTCACAGTTGTTTATGAATAAATAAATCTTTCATTTCAAATACATTTATAAATAATTTAATAAATATTTATGTATTTTGTTAAAGGCAAGATACATGCTTTTTGCAAGCACATGCATATTTAATATTTTTCATTTCTGGTATATGGAAATCTTTAATTTCTGTGCATTCGCTATATTTTTCGAGTAAAGTAATTTATACTAATTTTAAAAAGTACACGTTACAACAGTGTGGATGTGAAAAAAAAAATTATTTTATTTAAAACATTTTGGTGTTTCGAACATAAAATAAAAGTAGCGAATACTCGATCAAGGGTATAGAAAGATGTATACAATTTTAAAGGTACGGTGAGGTATTTTTCATTCTTTAAGCATAACTGTTTTGCTAAAATCTCTATTTTTGTAGTTTAACAGCTTAAAATTTTATAAAACAAATTCATAATCAAAATCGCTGTTGTTAGTTATCGAAAAATAGCCAATATGCTATTTTTGTGCAAATGTTTATAAACAATACAAATTGCTATTATTCATCACACTGGGAATGTTTCTTTTGTGCGGAAGTGTCTCGTTTTTCAATTTGTATGGAACTGATGTGTGTCAAAATACTATCGGAGAGTTGTCAAGCGAGCTTCTGAATGTAAACAAAAAACACCCCATCTGGTGACCGAAGCTTCGGAGCAGTTAGGTCTTTATATTCTCCATAAAGTTACTGAATCTTTGCTTTAAAAATATCTCACAGAAAATGACTATGTTCTCATTGGACATTGGATAATACACAATCGGAATTAAATTATCTTCCTTTCCCCTTTTTTTCCAGAAGAGTAAAACTTTGACATAGTCTTTCAACTAACTCACAGTCAAAAATTCATCAGCATGGTGAATATAATTTGAAAAAATATAAAATAAGTGCGTCTAAACCAATACCTGCAGAAAATGCAATTTATTTGAATCTACATTTGGCACTGGATGGAAAAATGAAGACTTTTGTTTCTGCTTGTAAAAAAAATTTGGATATGAGGAAATGCTGAAATGGTTTGCCATTCAAAGTAGTAATCTCTATCAATATAAGGACATATTAATATAAGGACAAATGCTTCAGATAAAGGCCAATGAATTTGCCAAGCCACTTTGGAAAGACTGAAAAGAATGAACAAAAAATTTAAAAACTGCATCATTTTAAATTTCAGTATATTTTTTTAAATTAAATTTGTTATTAATTTCTTTTGACAGATGTGACAGTGTTAATCAGTTTTTTTCCCTTTATTCATCATTCATTTATACATTATTTTAAGCTTATCCACTTCTCATAGTGGATCGAAATAACAATCTAAACCTCCGGTCCTTTGAAGTTCATTAGAGCAGGGTTCAACAGTATTCATTTATAGTACAAAATGCTTTGGAATTACTTAAAAACTTCTCTGAAAAGCAACCACAAAATTTCAGAACCTTCGTAAAAAATTATAACATACTTATTTTTAAAGATCATTAATTAAAAAGTTTATTTAATCAATTAACCCTTTGAGGTTCGGTGCATAAATTTCTTTTTTTTTTGGGGGGGGGGAAGCAACTTTACACATAAATTCTCCTAACATGCTCATGTAAAGTGCTAGTTTTAGCAACCAAATGAAAATGCAAGATATAAAAAATGTTCTTGAATAATTATCTAGAAAATATTGATTATATTCGCAAAATAAAAAAAAAAAATTTTTTTTCAAAAAAAATTACATAATTTAAAAACAAATCGCTCTCTGTACGACTTTTCAGATATTTTTTAACGATTTCATAATAGATTTGAAACAGAGAAGATTTTCGCTCCAGTACTTTATTTGCTACAGGTTTGAAAAGGAAGATATTTAGAAGGATGCCATGATTTACATTTCACCTCTCTTTCCCATGCTTAGGATATTTTTCTATGGTGAATCACACTTACATATCCATCCATTCAGCATTCAAAGACATTTTATGTTACAGAGTTATATTTTCATTTCTTTCGGAAAAAATACTAAATATTTTTCAAGTTTTAACATTACAATATATTAAAAAATATAAATTTGCATTATCAACATATAAAATGAACATGATAGTTGAATTTAAAAATATTTGAACAGTGCTGCCATCCAGTAGCAGCAATTCCTACATGTGTAGTGGGACGTACTTGGTTCCACCTTTTCATATTTACCATCTTTAATTAATATATATGAATTCAGATAATTTTTTTTTTTTTTTTAGAAAAGGAAACTTTCACATAAAAATATTCATTTGAACACCAAAAGTTGTTGTTCAGACGATTTAAACTGCATTAGAAATGAATTTAAAAAAACGGTACTTTTCCGTTTTGCCGGCACAGGCGATAAAGTCGCCAATAATGGTACAACTGATGGCAAACGGAATATCCTCGCTGATAACCTTTTACGCCTCATTTTCCAAATAGCCATTCTTATCAGATTGATCATTCCATTCTTATCAGATTTATCTTATTATCTTATCAGATTCACAGCCATTTCTTATCAGATTGATCGTTTCTTTCAATACTGGCATACAATTACAGAGAATTTGTACCAGATAGTTCAATTTTATGCCCTAAGGCCATTCGCGGTAATTAAATCGATTAGGATGCAATCACACTGCTCACCCGAAGGCGAAAACATAGAAAAGCAAAGGGTCATCAATTCTAATGAGAATGCACTAGCGAAGTAAAGCACTGCGGTTTTACATAATTTCTGTGTAAGCTATTCGTACGAATTGAAATAATTCTTGCATTTAAACTTGTATTCGAAATTAAGATTTAACTTGAAATTAATGTAGATAATTAATGAGAAAATTATATTTTTGTGGTGTAGTTTACGTGAGATGGGATCACGTGATATGAACCGGCGAATCAGGATGTTGAACCGTGAAAGCATAGTAAATTCTTAAATTAATGTCTTTTTACAAATTTATTGTCTTTATTTATTGGCTTTTTACAAAATTTTAAACGATATTAAACTGTTTACGCCTTCAAAATAAAAAAATCTTAGAACTAACATTTGTTAACGTTTTTTATGTGTATACTGTATGTTGTCGCCAATAAAGTCCACTTGGCGAGATTTGCGCTGGCGAAACGGAAAAGTACCAAAAAAACTGCTTTAAAATTAGACCTGCAGAAAATTTTTATTTTACATTATTATTATACAGTATTTTATTTTACATTATTATTAATTACGAATGAATACTAGTGCTGCCTCTGTTATACATTTAGAGAACTAAAAGGCATAATTGTATGCATTATGCATTTTAAATGCAATTTTGCAGCTTTCATCTGGGAGATAAAAACTGATAAAAAAAGGTAAGACGCCAGCCATCAAAGGGTTAAAAACAGTCATGGAACTCACATATTTGCCACTGTATGAAGATAATTAAGTAGCAAAGTCATACTACAGAAAAATTATGATCTACAACAAACATTATGGAACTTCATATATTTAAAGGTATATGAAATGAACACAAATGAAATCACATACCTACTGGTACCTTCTGTAAAGAAGTAATCAGCCTTGGCTCCATTTTTGCAACTACTGTTCCTATTTCAGATGCCCAAGTGTCACCATTAACACCCGCAAGAGAAGAAAGAACAGATGCAGCCAGCCAAGACCGCTCGTAATCCTTATCAAATTCTATCACTGTTTCTCCAAACCCCCCTTGTAATAAATATAACATGGCAATCTCTGTAGCTGCTCCACCATTACATATAACCTGGATCCAGTTTCGTTGACCACCTTTAATAGAGAAAAGTGTATAAAAATTTTATGGGTGAGTATCTCAATTAACTTGAATCATATGCATGAAACTAGGATAAACCAAAACGCAACAATAGAAAGTTTTCAAATAATCAAAAATTCAACTTGTCAAAGCTTCGTCAATTGAAATTATACTGTATATACACATATATATAACTAGAACTTATAAATGGCATAAATATTAACATAAAATATTCAAAACAGTTTATAATCTAAACTTGATTTAACTTGATCTATTTCATTATTTAATTCATTTTGGGTTAAATTCTCAATTATACAACTATTGCTAAGCAACTAGCTTCAGGAATAGGAGCAAAAAGAAGTCAATTTTAAGCTAATGTAACGAAATTTAATCCAAGACGGGGGGGGGGGGAATTAAAACACCATTTAATTTTACATATAACATCTTTCAAACCCATATAACAAACTTTTTTATATTTTAAAATTTAATAAAACTTTAGTTAATTAAATTAACACACAGTTTTGGACTTACATAAATTACAAAACATTTTAACAAAACTATTATATATATATAACAAATACATCATAACATCATACCTGGTGTCCAGCAAAGGAGTGTTGTATATTAATTTACAGTGAATAGTGAATTTACAATGTTAATATTTGTGGACTAATTCTTAATATATTCTCATCTAAACTCATTTTTCATTCGAAAGAGGTAAAGCTCTTAATAAATTAGCAAAGAGAATTGTGCTGCTAAAAAGCAGGTGATGTTCATTCCCAAGTGGCTATCCACTTGGGGTCATTAGGTCGTTGAACATCTGTGCACTCCCCCCCCTAACTTCCAACCTGCACGTGTTTCGCTCATTGCAGGCGAGAAAATTTTAGCTTTCTTCTGAAAGGAAAACTTTCTGTTTTGTTCATCACTACTGGTATTGCACCTTTGACAGAAATATGGTAGAAAACATTGGTTGAAAGTTAAGTGAGATAAAGGTACCCCATTCTCGCACAAAACTTCAAGGAATGTCACTTTTAAAAGCGGGTTACACTTTTCTTGGAAATTTGGAGGTAAATTATTAACCTTTTTCTTGTTGGATGTAGAGAGTTTAAAGTAAATGTCTGATTGGGTAAATATTAATTTATAGTTAAATTGAGCTAATACTGAATATACAAGAGTTCCGTAGTTCAGAGATACTGAGGCTTTAAAAAGTTTAGTGCGAGATGCAGGAGTAAATTTTCCCACCTTATTTTTTAAAAAAAGGGGGGAAGGGAAAGAGAAATAAGGTTTCAACCGAAGCCTAAGGCTAAATGCAGTCAGCGAGTCCAGTTTACCCAGCAGTAAGGAATTTGATGAGCACGTTTCTTCACAGCCATCCCGGTCAGGTATGAATAGTCGCATGAGAATAAACGAGTTCCAGTAGCTGACAAAATGAGCTCCTTTCAACTCCCCAGAAAAATTTTACTAGCCACTCAGAATTTGTGCTTGAAATTTTGAGTTTTTCATGGCATTTCCAGCTGCTAAGATTACAACTTTTGAAGCAAGGTTCAGGGGATCACTAGCAAGAGAATACGGGTGAAGAATATGCAATTTGGACATTACAACTGGATTCCTTCCGTAAGAGACTGATGAACATATTGGAATTTTGCTAAGAGAACAAATGGTGAGGAATATTTGATTTGGACAGTGCAACAAGCAATTGTATTCTTTCCTTCAGAGACTGATATATATCTGACTCTTTCCAAGCTTATCAAGTGGGATTATTTTATGCGAGTTCTCATACCAGGCTTATTAAGTGAGATATTTTATGCGAGTTTTCTTTTCACTGTTTTCTAATGTCTTTTTTATCTAGTTATAGTCATTTATCTTAACTGGCAGAAATTGTATTTAAAATTTTTAAATATAGAGAACTGGTTTATGCCTAGGCGATTTTAAAATTTATGCATGAAAAGAAAATTTGGTTACTATAATTTCTTGCAGTAATTGAAGATCATTGTAAGACTAAGCATTGGTATTCTGTAAAAACCTTTTGACTCTATGTGAGGTTTCAAGAGTTTAATTCAAATTAAATTTAATTAAGAAAAGTCAATATCTCTTAAGTATCAAACAAAATATTGTACACTAATGTATTATGTTTAAATTGGTAATTCTTTTTTTTCCACAATTTTATAGTAGAAATGATAGGAAATGTCATTTAACCAAGTTAATGTAGGGGTAGTCTGGCCAGCTGTTTTAATATATGTTGATCCTTCATTAATAAATGTGTTTTAATTGTAATTTTTGCTTATGTTTACTTTAGTAGTTTGTTCATGTCCCCCATGTGATCCTTATGGAAATGATGGATTCTTAAAGTGAACCTGGGTAAATTTTATTGAGGAGGTGTAGTAGGAACATTATTTTATGTGTATTGGAACTATACAATCGGATTAATTATTTTATTTGCACTGGTGATTGAATTCTTACTTGTGTAGTTGATGCTTCCCTGATACTTTGAGATGTAATGTATTTGTATTTAAGGATAAAAGACTTTCTGACTATATCTTGAGTTTAGGAACTATCGCATTGAGATTTACGCGTTTTCGGGAAAGACAGGGTATGCAGTTTTTTATAGCACTAAAATCCAAAAGAAAATGTATACTGTTATAATTTTTTTTACTCACACTGATAATTTCAGCGGAATTATATGTGAAACTGCTGTCTTTTTCTGTATAACGTAACACGAAAATCTAGAAAAAGGCTGCTTTGCCGGAAAAATAACAATGCAGGGGCAAGTCTATTCAATATTGAGTAAATGTCTATCTTGTCAATTTAGCGAGATACCGCCAAGCTGGCAACAGTTTTGGCAACTAATTTTTGTTGAAAATTTGGTAAAAATCTGCCAAAAGTCAATGAACTTGGCAACCAATTTGGTCCTGTTCCTATATTAAGTATTGTAATTGATCACTATATTCGCTGTAACCATATCCGGGCAGGCCCGCACCAAGCCTAATCGGCAGCGTCATGCAAATGTCTAGCGAACGCCATTATGCAGTGATGATATTAAAGGGACATTGCTTATTGTTAACATTTAAAATGAAGCATTATTAGTATAATAATATGAAAAACCAAATATATTAGATTCTATCTTTTAATTTATCTAAACATGCAAACATTTTGTGCTTCATTAAAACTCACACTCAAACAGATTTATTGAAGAATTATACATACATTTATGTTATAAAAAGCGCCCAACCAGTATAGTGGTTAGTGTTGCGGACTGCCATGCTGAAGGGCCCGGGTTCGAATTTCGAAAAAGGCATGGATGTTTGTAAATGTATTGTGTTCATGCGGCATAGGAGCACTCTAAACATGCGAGGCAAAAGTCCTCTCGAAAGGCTGGTGGTAGAAAAAGAGGGGTGGGAGACGCTAGGACCAGTTCTCCCAGGATGCTCTCCATCAAAACTGATCTAAATCATACTGTCATTTGTGAGGTGCTCAAGGCTATTGCCAAAGACAAGTGTATCTTGCACTCCTTGCCACGAGGAATTTCGTGGGCTTGCGCTGACAAGTGAGCATTAGTCAGCAACAACATGTTATAAAACATAACACTGCAAGCAAAGCGAAATAGTCTCATTTACCAAAAAGGTATCTTCATTGGATACCTAAATGCATTGGATACCAATTATATTGTTGAATACGATTTATTATCTTAAAATTTAAAACAATTTAGATATATAATAAGTTTGCACTGAATAAATCGTTGTTCACAACGTAGTTTACGCCAAGGTTCAAACTGTGATTACAACAGGGCACAAAAAACGCTTTAGGGGTGATATCTAGGGATATATCCAAAATTATTTTTTTACACACCTCTATGTTGTTGACAAGATGCAGCTTAGAGTTTCAACCGACGATGTTACATTTCCTCCAAAAGTTTGCAAATATTGCAGTTCACGCATAAGTATACTATTTATATCACTTTTATTTTTTATCAGTTAATGCTTTTTGCAGTTTTTGGCATAAGTTGAGCCGATCTTGTAAATATATGTAAACTAAAATACGTGATACCGATATGTATTATAAGAGTAGATGCGAACGACATATTGCTTAGTACTTATTTGTGTCTACTGTTGCAGTCGTAGTAATTTGTGCAACTTTTATCTTTATAGTGATTTTTTTGGGCGATTGCTTGTTGTTATTGTTATTCTACATAAAAAAGGAAAGTGCAGTTACATATTATATTAAACTCATGTAAGCTTTTTAATTCAGAAAAGTGACGATTTGAGCATAATTACTCGGAAAAAAATTTTTTTACATGAACCATTTGTTTATTAAACTAAAAATTATCTTTTGACAAGAAAGGATCGACATATTTACAAAGTACCACTTAATTTAAAATATATCTATTTGAGATTTGAAGAAGTAAAAATATTCTGAAATCAAAAATTGGCCATTTCCCGATTTTTAGCTATATATGGAAAACTGAAGGAAAATGTTTCGTTATTTCATTACCTCTTAACCCGCGAGAACTCGCACCGGGTATGACATACCCCATCTATTTTCATACAATGTTTTTGTTTTTATCTCCTTATCGAATTAGGTCAGAATTTCATGTAGCTGTATTCAAGGTCACATTCTTTCAGCAGGGGGGGGGGACTAGTTCAACTCTAAAAATAGAATTCTAGAAAGAGATGTCGGGGGTATGTTATACCCATGCTAGTCCTCGCATCAGTCAGATCTTTCCTTTTTCTCTCAGTCTTGTGAATTATGACGTGCTATTTGAATTACAATGAAGAAAATAAATATTTTTGACACCTTATCTAAACTGTTTCTAGTGATGATGAACATATATCTGATAATAATGTTGCCTCTAAGGATGAAGAATACTGTAGCAATCCCGATTCTTCTATCGAAACTGAGACGGAAACAAAAGATGAAAGTTCACTGTCAACAAATGATTTTTATATTGGTAAAGATACAGTTACAAAATGACAGAAGGAAAAATACTCGCAAAATCTTAGGAAGCCTTCAAAGAATATAA